CCCCCCCCTCCGCTGTAAGACGCCTGTCTGATATGCGAACAGCATCACGAAACGATACGGAAAAAAAATAATCTAATTTCCAGGTTCCGCTGCATCGAATTCGAGGAATCTTTCATTTAGACGGCGAATCATGCTCGACTCATTGTTCGTCGCTCAAGAGATTTCGAGGGCGGGGAATGAACCACGCCCAGAGCCCGTTCCGCAGGGGTCTGGGCCTCGATGAAGCGAACGGGAGACTTCTCATGATATCTCCTTCCGGATCGATTGAAGTTCTGCACGGAAACGACGGGGCCCGTCGCAGTGCTCGGACGACAAGATGTATTTTCGAAGGAGCTGGAGCGTCAGTCATAAATTTCTGACGACGCGAGGCGTCGAAGTTGCTGCAGACGGTTATATAGAAACGTCTGCTCCCAAACTCAAAGGCGATGCTTCTATCCGCCCACGCAGCTTTCTTTAATGGAACAGACATCTGACAGCTCTAGGAGCGGGGCTCTGGCCTGAGATCCCTCCCACGCAAGAAAGCCGCCTCCCCAACAAAAACGAAGCCGTCCACTTACTGACTACTGCCCCTCGTTTCTCGTTGGCCGCCTGCCTTCCAGCCCGATTCGTGCGGCTGACGTCAACTCGCAACAGGGACCGGCTAGAGACAGCGAAGAATTGGGAATCGGTAGGAGCGGGAAGAGAGGAAAAGGCCCGAAACTGCTGAGGCTGGGTCAGGTCAGAGCACAGAAAACGGGAACAGATGGCGTCGAATGACGTGAGGGAAAGTTAGACGCAGGAGGGAAGCCTCGAATCAACGTTGACAGCATGTTGCCGCGAAGAATGCGGTGCGGCTAAAAAAAACTGTTCCTCAAACACAACAATCAACGTTGCGGACGCTCTGCTGTGACGACTTCCTTGCGTTTCTACGTCGACGAAAACATTTGCTGAAGTTTTCTCATCGCCGAATTCTCGTTCCTCTCCCTTTATCGATTGGAGAAACTCCAGGGGATATTTCTTTTCTGATCGTCCCGATCCACCTGCGGCGGATGCAGCAGCTGAGCGGGGTTCCCGAGAGCGGCTTCCTTCCCCGGAGAGACTGAATCATGCGAAGGAATAAGCAAACGTGAAACGAAGAAGTGACCCTCGGGAAATCTGCTAAATTCAATGTGCTCCTCCAGATGGAAACTCTTGTTGGGCTGCATCAAGAAAGACGGCCCGGGGCGATTGTGTACGCAAGTGAACACAGCGCAGTTCGTTGCCCCTCAGCGATAACTCGGTACGCGAGAGCTCGCGTGAGGTCAGCATTTAGAACGATCAAGAACCATCGAGCCCTTGATCATTAGGGGTTTTTCATTTGCGAGACGGAAAGCTGTCGCTGATTGACTCCACGCTCCGAACTTGTGCATCTTCCCAGCGGCAGTTTATTGATCTTCTCCTTCTGCTGAACGGTTCAACGGCGAAACAAAAGGCGTGGCTGGTGGTCAGGGGCTTGGACAATCCGACCCTAATGGATCTGAAGATGGAAGAAGCCTTCAGTGGAAAAACACGCATAAGAACAATACTGGTCCTTCATCCATTCATCGCGTGCCGTCGGAAAAAACTTCGCTGCCAGCATGGCTGCTCCTTTCGTCGCACGAGCCATGAACGACCCGGCATCGGGGAAGCATTGGAACCTTTTGTCTGAGAACTGGATATTCCATTTTTGGAGAGGGACGAGGAGAGGGATTCGAGCGGATAGAGGGATAGCCGTGGAGAATATGAAAAGCGAGACGGAGAGATAGATGGCCTGAGACGCATTAGGGGACCCACACAGCATGTTATCCGCTTGGGGAATCGCCATGATGCTGCGATGGCTGAAGCCGTGGTTTGTCACAAAGTTCACAGCATAGAACGATGAGCGCCGTTTTCGGGCAGAAGTTTCATCAGCTCTAAATCTCACAGGGTCCCGGGGCTGGGGGAAGCTCCTTCTCGTGCTAGGCCATCAAAAAGACCATAGTTACCCAACGCGAGGTAACTGGGTGTAAGACCGAGGACCAGGATAGGAACCGGCAGATCGCGCCGACATGTGATAGTGGCTATCATGAGCCGCTGGAAGAGTACGAGGAAACAACGGCAGTCCCTTCCAAGGCTATCATCCTTCGAGGCAGGCCGTGGAGCACGCTATCTTAAGCACGTTTCCGTACGTGCATTCTCGGCATTGTGATTATTTGATACACGACCGGAAGCCCACAAAGCCCATCGGCTCAACGATGTTGCAGATGGAGAGTCCTTATTTATTTTACAGCAACGACCATGTCCCCAGCACTCTTCGGCCTCTGCCTTCGCTCCCACACGCTCTCTGTGTGTGAGTGTACGCAAGAGGGGGAGGAATGTAGTATAGGAAACGGATGACCACCTCCGAACAAAGGCAGTGCTGAGAGCTACTGATTTTTCCTTCGGTCCCTGTTTGATGCGGAAGTTACTCTGATCTTTGTTGGGGGACCTGCCCTGGTGGGAAAACGACCAGAGCTCACTCGCCCCTTCCATCCGGTAGGAAGCCGGAGAGAATTCGGAACGGAACTCGACACAGCCATCCCCGGACATCGAGCTGTGGAGCTTTGCCGCAGCCTTCGGGTTGGAACCGTGACGGAGGAAGCATGTCCACGCCGATGGAAATCGTCAAACGTACAATTATGATCCCTGGCAGCGACTGAGGAAACTCCTACATCAGCGGAAAGCTGTGCCAAATAACGGCAGAGAGCTCGACGTCCATGAAGGAACGTCAGAACCAGGAACGGGGCGCAATGCTCATCGGAGCGCATCTGTAAACGGAGGGTTAGATTAGAATTTTTAGCTGAAGCGGCGGACTGACGGTCGCTCGGTTGGTGCGAGCTTTCCTAAAAGTTGTGCGATACTCCTCTTTCCGCTCGACTCGCATACATTGCTTCTGGGCTTTTAGTTTTTCTCGTGCGTAGGACATACAGCGAACGATCGGAGGAAGGCGAGGGAATCGGACTGGCATAAAGAGCATGATGACATGAGGATGAGCGACTCTCCGACTGCGAACGTAGCAACTGGACCGTGGTAGCTACGAGAGAAACTCTGTGTCGTTCGCAGTCGGCGCTCTGTCGGATCGTAGTTGCGGCCGGCTATTCGTCGAATGCAAAAACTCAGCTCGTCCTCTTCCCGAGCCTGCGTGTGACATTTCGCTACTTTTCCCTCCGCGTCGACGCGGAGCAGACTTCTCTTTGGATAACCTATCCAGGGTAAAGTATCGCATGCGACGAGGACATAATGACCCGGTGGAAACGTCGGGAGAGTAGGGGGGGATGAGAGGGGGGGGAAACATGGAAGAGCATTCCTTCCCCGGCTGTCGTCGGCGACATGAGTAGGAGTGTCGGTAGGAGCGAGTGCGAGTAATTAGGCTAGGGAGCTTATCAACGTGATTGGGCGCGGCAGACAACGGCGCCGCTAGCTCTGGCGTCGATTGATGGAGGGGTAGGTGCTGTCATGGATCCGAGCCAGTTTGCGTGAGCTGATTACATCTAAATGTATGTCCGGGCATCATGTCGTACGTACAAGTGATCGATGGCTCGACGTACAGCTGTTACAGCTGTCACGGACGGAGCTCGTCCCAGAATCGCGCGTCTGTCTCACAGGCGTTCGTCAGAGCGCTAAGGCATCGAAAGATGCTCATTTCCGAAAGTATTGCGCTTTTCGGTACCGCGAGCATTCCTAGAGCAGAGCTCATGCCCGAGAGGAGTACGCGACGATGACGTCTAGTCTCGCTGTCGCTGTTAGCGCTTCGAGCGACAGCTGAAAGTTTAGCCACCGAAGCATGATGGTGGGCGTCTGCATGAGCGAATCGTTGGCATGTTGTTCCCCGACGGCACGTTTCACTTAACTTGTTGAGCCGCCTTGCCTCCCGGCGTCGCGCCGTTACGTCTGCCGGGCAGGGGAACAGAGTAAGTTGTCGAGAGTTCTGTTCCCGTAGGACAACGCTCTGCGGTAGAACGGCCGGCGGTTTTCGCTCCAGGAATACGGCTGATTCCCGGCAGCCGAGGTTGCAGCTCTTGGTGGAGCTCCGTTTTTGGATGAGCTTTTCCCTTGCTCCCTATCGCCTCCATCCCGATCCCATCTGGATGATTTTCCCCTCCTGCGTCGGTCGCGTCGTCAGCAGCTGTGAGCCGCTCATGACCGGCATTGCCTCCGAGCGGAATTGACAAGCCGATAAGTTAACTTTTGAAACTGTTGTTCGCAGTGTGCTGCTCAAAACGGCCCACGAGCCCCCACTAGAAAATAATAATTCAATACCTCCTCCATCCCCAGGTCGGGATAATCAATAAAACGGCGAGTAGGTCCGATATTTTTCCCACACCAGATAAATTCTTCCACGATACGACACTCGAGACATTCGTCTTCCAGAGGAAGCTACCGTGGAACCGATAATGGGAGCATACCGATGAAGAGAGATGATGCCAGCTCACTCGTTCTCTCCACACGTCAAGTCATTACACCTAAGCTCTCGCGAATCATCGTTGAGTTCGGGGCTTTGGCAAGTGAGAGCATCGTTCGCTAGTCGACAAGTTTTTCTGTCGGGAAAACCCCGCGGATCGCGGATCGGTGGAATTTGCGAATGGGGAAAGATGCGAATTGTGAAGACTCGAATGCGTATGTGTGTTGCCCGTACGACCGAACAAACCCAATAATTACTTTTCCTGGGCCGAAGGAATCGGGGTATCCCCCTGCTCCCCGGTGAAGGTTTTATGGTTTATGGTTTATGGTTTATTGTGATCCAGATTGAGGTGTACATCCGTTTGTTTGTATATACACAGTCAATCAGCCTTTCATATCAGGCGCGAAATTCAGCAGATCGTTGTTTGTCCCAATCCTCCAGGATTCTTTTTGTCCTTCTTACTTCGGTTGCATTGTTTGCTCCTTCGTGGAGTCCGAGACGGCACAGGAGTTCTTCCCCCGTGTAATAGATGTCGTTGCATTCGAAGATGACGTGTTCCATCGTCTCTTCGTAGATGCCACACCTGGGACAGGTTTTTGTCGGTTCCGGGGTACATCTTGTGGGCTCTGGTTGGCAGCATGTTGGCTCTGGCCAGAGCCAGGAGGGCGCTCCCCTTACTATTATCGTAAGTGAAGCTAGTTACACCTCGGGTTTTCTTTCCCTTGGCGTAAGTAGTGAGGCTCGTCTTGAGGAGCATGTTGTCTCTCCACATCGCCTCTTGGGTCTCTCGTATCCTTTCTTTGATCTTTTTGTTGAAGATATTCGAGAGCGGACGTCCTTCTTGATCGAATTGGAGTCTGATGTCTGAGCATTCGTATTTTGCTCTAAGTCGTTCGGTCTCCTGGTACGCCTTGGTTTCCTTCTGAGTGAGCTCCATCATTCTTAAGATCGCTTTCGGCCATCTATTTTCAGGCATTGATCTCACTCTTTCGAAGTATCTTAGTTTGCTTTGGGCATCCCTTGCTTCAAAGGATGACCATCCGAGTTCGCCTTCGACGAACTCGTTCGATACTTTCGAGCCTGGAATCCCTAGTGCCCATTTTCCGGCTTTCCGCTGGGCTCTATCCAGGGTGTCCCTCAAATTTGCGCTCCTCACCAAGACCGAGTTGGCGTAGGTGAGTTTCGGGACGGCGGTTGCTTTCCACTGCACTCTAGAGATCTCAAATCTGTTGAAACCCCAGAGAGACGTAGCATGCATTGCATGTAAGGCGGAAGTGGCCCCTTTCATCCAGGCTTCCTCTTGTGCATTGAGGTAATTTCTGGAGTCGGATAGGGTTACCCCAAGGTACTTATAGTTTTTAGCAACTGGGATAACTTGACCTTGTATGGTCAATGTTTTCTTCCTACCCACGTCGTGGGGTGAATAGATCACGACGGCACTCTTCTCTGGATTGAATGTAAGTTTATTCCGGTTCCCATATTCTGTGGTTACCTCCAGGAGTTTGGCCATGTCGTTGTGATTTCTCGCCATTAGGACGAGATCGTCAGCAAAGAGTAGGCCAGGAATGTCGAAGTATGTTTTTCCCTCATGTTCCACGACCATCTCGCTGTCTTACCTGGAAGCCGATCCGCGGTTCTGTAGTCTGGCTCCAGGTCCCAGATGTATAGCATGAATAGGACACACGACATTGGGCATCCTTGTCGAAGTCCCTGGTCGTTTCTATCCATCTAGAGTTATTCTCATTGTGAGATATGTGGGCTCTGTTGCGTGTATACAGTTTCTGTATAACGTCTAGCAGCCCCCGTTCCATGTTAATGGTCCGGAGCTTTTCCCACAGTATCGATCTATCTACACGGTCGTAGGCGGCTGTGCAGTCCAGATAGACGCAGATTAGTCCTGTTTTGTCTAATCGCGATAGCTCAATAGCTGAGGTCAGGATGAATATGTTATCATCCCCTCTTCTGCCGGTACGAAATCCATTTTGCATCTCGCCCAGGATTTTTTTCTCCTCCACCCAGGCTTGCATCCTCTTCACAATTATTTTCGTGAATATTCGATACAGGACGGATGAGATAGTTATTGGTCGATAGCTTTCGAGATCT